GTCAGGAGCCGACGCTGAATGAAAGGGCCTAAAGTCAGTCAACAATCCAGTCATCGGGAAACATACTTTTTTGGACGGGTTTGTGATTCGAGGAGCGCTTGCAATTTGCATTTTGTATGCGATATGAGGATGATGGGGATGTACAGTTACACTATTATACCAGATATTCCAAATGGCCCACTGCGGCCGGAATCCGATCTAAAATACTACGGTTTGCATGTATAGATCCGTGAAAAATAAAAAATCAAGTCGTACAAATCCTCGAGATGACCAGAATTGGGGGCGTTTCGGCCCCCCACTAAGATCTCGGAAATTTACCGGCCGATTTTCAAAATTCAAATGGCGTTCGATAGCCCCACCCGGGAACTACCTTGTGACCAAATTTCATTGACCTAGGTCAAACCGATGACGTCACAGGCCAGGTCAAAGGTAGGATTTTCACCGTTCACAGGCATTTCAAGAAATGTGTTGTGAAATCGAGTAAATTGGTAAGTTATTGAAAACCATCGATGGTAACGGGTGGTCAGTATGAAACTGGACAAAGTTTGAATTGTTACTGTGTCGAAAGTTTTTAAGCGAAAGCAACGAAAATCGCGTTACCGTGCCATTATTTTGTTGTGATCACGCTCGCCCTAATGGATGTGTGACACTGGACCTCTGTCAGCCTCCAAGCGCACGCGCGCTGGCAGCCCCGCTATTGTCTTTCGCGGCACCTCCGAGTCGATTTGACGGATGGCCTGCTGGATTCTCCGCTTCAATTGTGCGTCTCAGCTGACCTGTCACCTTCCCTTATACACTTTCTGTCTGATGAGCCCCTACAGATCCTCAATGGGCTAAATCTGAGGGGTACATGGCGGATTCATGTCACGTGCTATTTCGGGCACCCCAGCCTCCTCAAGAAGTTTCGTGTTCTAGCGCGCGTACTGTGATTGTTGCAGGGTCGGAACCTAACATAGCATCATGCTCTGTGTTCTGAGACTCAAGAAGTGGTAACAATACGCCATTCAAACACTTTTCATAGCACAGTTCGCCCTTTTCATTGCCTGTGCTCGGCAAGAAACTGGACGTGTGAGCCCCTCGGACTCATGGCAACCCAGACGGGCCTCTCGGGTGGATTCTTGCTCTCAGGTCGAAAGCGAAGATGAGGGCCACATGTGGAATAGTGTCTCCACCAGCTGAGGTGTAAAATTCGGCAATGGAAGGTGTTTGACTGCCACTGCAGGTGAAATAAGATTCGTCGTCCATATGCACCTTCATGTTTTTGCTACCCTGCATTGGACCCGGTGACAGACGGCGCAGGCGGGGTTTCTGCGTACGATATTGTGCCTCCGTCACCTTTATCCTATTTTTGTACCTGATTCCTGCTTGTTGACACATTAATTGGTCATATGTTTTGAAGATTCCAAAATTTCTTCCCAGAGATCACAAGGAGAGCCCCAACTGTTCGGTGACGGCACCGGTTTGTTTCTTTCGGTGCTGAATGTGCCTTTTCTTGGTGATCTTGCCGTTCCCACCATGCAAAACATCTGCAAGTCCTCAGACTTTATCGATGATCACATATTCTTAAGATCTGGTTACACCCTATGGCGTAATGTGACGCATAATGATAGCATGTTTGTAATTTGTGTTATTTTCACAAACTTGCGCGAACAGGTCCCGGAACGCTTGCTGACTTACCGGCACAATGTTTTCTACTAGTTAATAGCAGAAAGTTGAAATCTGAGCTGGTAATATAGAATAACTGGAAGTATTCACCTGCCAAAAATAATTAAAATCTGTCCATAATTGGAGATGCTAGCTTAATCAAATTTTGTCCAGTTTCATACTGACCACCCGTTACATTGTTCGTCAAACACATACCTCGCTATCTGAGGTCACTGATACCAGGTCAGGTCACAGAGGTCAGGTCACTGGGGGGTCACAATATGAAAGTGTCGTGTGATACATGTTTTATGGTCCATTTTACATGACAAATGCGACGTTTGAAACCACGAAAAGCTTGCAAACGCATGGCTAATGCGAGCCGACATACGCGGAATCGCGATTCCGGCCAAACATGGTCTCGGAAAAGAGGCCACCGGTCAAAGGTCATTTAGGTCAGGGTCATGAAATTTTCAGGGTAGGTGTAAAATTGATCAATGCGAGGGTACTGAAAGTTTCGTCGCGATCGGCCTCTTTTTACGCGAGTTACTCGCGAAAAACCATCCGACCCCCCCCCCCCCCCCTACACATGCGAGGGTTAATTCAACATAAGATTGCTGGCTTGAAAATGATGGTACAGTGTCATAATTTGGCATACCAATGCGCAAAGAAGTGACGCAAACTTGATAAAAATTTTGGCTCGTTATTTGCACTCAAATGTGAGATATAGGCCTCCAAAGTTCGGAACGTTTTTTTTTGGGGGGGGGCCACCAGACATATTAACAGATGAAATGTTTATGTAATCACCTCTTTTCATTGCCAAAAAACGAAAAAGCATGTCCAGCCGAAACACGCCCTGCTGTGCTATGTGTCGGTTGAGGTCAGTAGCTTAGCAATACACAGGCTTGTTGTTTTATGATTGCCATATTTTTCCTAAAGGTCACGTGAGGTCATGTCGGACTTGTGACCTCGCCATCGTGAGGACGCCATCATACCAGGAACCAGGTGCGAGGGTCACGATGATACCAGTAGTAGAAAACCGATGGATAGGGCTGAAGCTGTGATTCTTGGTGATTCAGACAATGTGCGCATCGGCCACTCGCTGACTGATCATCCGTCGCGGTCGCCTGCCTGCCGGCCGGCCCGAGCCGACTCGCCGCCCGCGTCGCAGTGCCTGGCGACGCGTCTGCGACGGCGGGCGCCGGTGGCGCCGGCTGGCGATCGGTCGGCAAAGTGCCGGGCCAAGTCGGCGAATCAAGCTCGTTCTCTTCGCCCTCTTGCCCCCTGGCTCCGCCCCCTTTATCCCCCTCGACGGAGAAACTTATGCCCGGCAAAGACTGGCTAATCGGAATAGAGCCATATCGACCCAAACCCCGGCTCTGACAGCGTCACGTTTACACCGGCCCAAATCTGGCATGTCGGAGTCGCCGGGGCAAAACGGACTTGCGCCGAACCAAATTGGCTGGGTTAGGGGGCCAGCTCTAGGAGCTCCACATCCGCCTGTAATGGTCCCACACCCATTTCTCTGAGGGCCTTTATAGCGACGACTGTGCGGGCCCTCACCGGCGCCCCTGAGTGCCACACCGGCGTCTCTGAGGGCCCCACACCCCCAACTCTGAGGCCCTACACCAATGCCTTGAAAACCCTACATGTGCGGTTCTGAGGGCCCTTGTTAGTTACCAGCCAGCTACCAGTGACCCTCCTGACGGCCACACACAGGTGACTCGGAGGGTCCCAGCGGCGTCTGAGAGCACCATGCCGGTCTCTGAGAACCCCACAAGGCTCCTGAAGGCGCCGGTGACCTCTTGATACCTTCTTGTCAGCCTATGAAGGGTCCGTTCCGTAACAGCAGTTCTGAGGGCCCCACGCGCGCCTGTGATGGCCCTAAACCAGTGTCTCTGAGAGCTCCCACAACGGCGCCTGTGAGGGCTATCACCGGCGACTGTGAAGCCCCTTTACCGGCGCCTCCGAGAGCGAGCCCCACATTGCCATATCTGAGGGCCCCACACTAGTGCCTCTTAAGGCCCTGTATCGGCGGCTCTGAGGGCCCAACGCCGTCGCTTCTGAAGGCCCCACAAGTGCGCATGTGACGGCCACCAACCGGTGACATTTGAAGGCCCCACAACGGCGACGCTGAGGGCCCCATCGGCGCCTGAGTCCGTGCCGGTCTCTAAAGACGACCCCACAGGGTTTCTGAAGGTAACCACCGGCCTCTGATGGCCCTTTGCCGGCCTCTGGCTCTGAGGGCCCGTCGCCGGTCTCTGGAGCCCCCTGCCGGCTTGGCAGCTCTAAGGGTCCAAGTCCGACACCCGTGTACGACGGACCCACACCAGTGTCTTTGCATCTTAACGTCTTTTTCGCCCTTCTGCTTAACCCGCGCCCGGCTGGGGGTCCTGGATTTCCACGCCCTGCTGGGGGGGGGGGGGGTGTTTGAACACCCCCCCCCCTTCTAACTCGGCTCCTGGGCCACGTAGCGATACGCAGAAGGCGGCGTTCGAAAGAGCGCCAAAAATAATGACGAAATCACTTCGCTCCTTTTTTTGGTCAGGTCAAAGGTCAGGTCACCAGAGGTCATTGAAGGCAAAATTTCGCCGATTTTCAGGTCGAATGTCGACAATTTCCAGAAAGCCAACGCATAACTCGGGAACCAATAGAGCTACAGCGCCGCGGAAAAGCGCATTCGATAGCCCTATTAACGCCCTTTCTGAGTAATTCTCTCAGATTTGACCTAACGTCAACGGTTTTGCCTGCAGGGCAGGGTTCCCTAGTGAAAAAATCTTACAGGGTAGCCCTGTATGGTTGACCCTACAGGATTTTTGACAAAATTGTTACCAGGGTTCCTACAGGGTGTCGTACAGGGTACCGTGCACGGTGTCGTGCATGGTACCGTGCACGGTGTCGTACAGGGTACCGTACACGGTGTCGTACACGGTGTCGTACAGGGTGCCGTACACGGTGCCGTGCACGGTGTCGTACAGGGTGCCGTACACGGTGCCGTGCACGGTGTCGTACAGGGTGCCGTGCACGGTGTTGTACAGGGTACCGTGCACGGTGTCGTACAGGATACCGTGCATGGTGTCGTACAGGGTACCGTGCACGGTGTCGTACAGGATACCGTGCACGGTGTCGTACAGGGTACCGTGCACGGTGTCGTACAGGGTATCGTAAAGGATCTCGTACAGGGCACCACACTCGCCATTCTATAAGTATTCCGCATCTTGTTATTGTGCTGAGCCGCTGCTGAAAACAGCGGCTCAGCACACCTCCGACTCGGGCATCTCCGACTCGGGCATCTTGAGCCGGTTGACCAGGAATGCTAAAAAGACCCACGAGTTCCCGCGTTACCGACAAAGTCAATATTCGGAATAAATGTATTTCTGGGATAAATACACAGCCATTTCCGGGTCACATCCCGTCACATTACGACACACGTCGTCGCGTCGCGGCTGCCGCTCCGTCCATCGATCTACGAATCTCGAGTGGTGGTGTCGCCCGACGATCCTCGCATCCTGCGTTCCTGTAACAAGGTGGACATTCACATGTTACAATGATAATATATTGATTGAAGGGACTCCTGCCGTCGAAAGTAACTAATCGGCATAAAAGTGATACATACAACGCGATACAAAGTGATCGGCATACAACATTGTTTTGATGTTGTATCACAATATTGCATATCAATCTCCTATCAACCAAATACAACGCAAATTCAACTTGAAATAAATGCTGGATCGATGTCGAAATACGGTTGATCCTCAATGTTGACAATCAACCTGGTTTCAACCAATTTTTAATATTGAATTAATGTTGTGTGTTACTATGTAGTAGCGTCGACGCTACTAATGCGCTCTGGTATCTGATAGTAGACATTTAAATGTCTATTTTTTCAGCTATTTTTTTCGATCAGCTATTTTTGAGTGAACGTTTCGGCGCCGTTTTTTTTTTTGTCTGTAATGCTGCAAATATTGAGAACAATTTTTTATTGTTACACAGCAATACAGCATGGCAGAAACTTACCTTCAGGTCGGAAGAGGAGACGGCAGATGACACCGCACGGCACACACTCGACACTTCCGTCGGCTCTCCGCACATCGCGAGCGGGCAGTGAATGGGACGGACGGAATGCGGCGGAGGGGGACGCGCGCTCCCCTCTCCGCCCCAGGCGAGGATCGGGACGCCCGCCGCCGACCGTACCGTACGGTCTCTAAAACGGACAGTGGTCACTAAATTCCAGTCGGTACAGTCTCTAAAAGATCACCACAGCGCCCGACTGGAAAAAATGCCTCCACTACGCTGAAGTTCTCGGCGGAGGTGATGCGCCGAAATTTCGGCGCAAGGGTTTATGCGCCGAAATTATTTTACCAAGCCATGCTTCATGCGCCGAAAATTTTCAAGGCTTACTGATGGCTGCAGGCTGTAGCCTGTAGCCACGCACTTTTCGTCGAGGGGGGGGGGGGCTGGCGTGTGTGCGTGGCTGTCTTCCAGTGACTACTGTCTACAGACGGTTGTTGGCACGGTCGACGGGATCGGGCAGACAATAGACATCAGCAGGCCATGCGGGACCGAGCACCAGCGTTCGCTATCACAAAATCTCCTGACTCACAAACTCACTGGCATGTTCCATAACGTAACCTTTATTTTGTTGCCCGGCTCTGATCAGCAGTATGTGCCCAGCCGGTGACTGACGCCTGACGGGGCCTTCAACAGGCGTGGTGCAAGCACGGCCGATGGGATCGGGCAGATACCAGGCCACGCAGGACCGATTGCCAGCGTCCGCTCGCAAACCACACGCCGGAAATACAGGAATCACAACGGTGAATACGCAAACGATAGCATACGTTATCTGAACTAGGGGATCCGACAATCCATAACCTCACTCTCGATCGGTGAACTGTTCCCGCCGTGGGAGAGTCACAATCAGGTTCACTGAACATGACTTAAATACCCTGAGACGAACACGAGACAAGGTAAGTGATATTTAAGATGTTTAACTCCCGAAGACATTTAACCCTCGCCGGCCGAGGGGGGTTGGTGCCACCCCCTGACAGGTTTTTCGCGACTGCTCCGGAGCCGTTTGCGATAGAGAGATAGAGAAAACCGTCGATTTACGCCGAAGTACGCCGAAAATTTCGGCGCAAGCCGTCGATTTACGCCGAAGTACGCCGAAAAATTTCGGAGCAAACGCCCAACTACGCTCGAGTTCTCGACGAAAGCGTGCATTTTTTCCAGTCGGGCCACAGCGCACAAATGCACACTTTAGTCCCCGAATAATACAGTACAGCAACGCGTCAAATTAAGATGATAATGTTATGAAAGGATTAGGGAGCTATGAAGTGAATCGATTCTTTTATAGGGATCAATTCACAATTCGTAATTCCCTATATATCGGGACAATGTTGACAACAACATTCGAATGTTTATGTCCCCGCCAGTTCTAATAATGAGCAGTACCGTCCTGAGGAGATGAATAAATCCCGGTAGGTTGCAGACTGAGAAAAATGTCCATTGTCCAACATATCAACGCACCGGGGCGAGGCATTTCTCCCTAGGTAGGTACTCCTCATACTTTACTTGACAGGTGCATCGTTTACAACTGTTCTCCACGTAGTCCGTGTGGAGCAAATGATCGCATTTGCTTGAGAGTTAATTTGCAATTTGCTTCAAAACTTGATTTTTGACGATTTTTTAAACATTTACCACTTTTTGACTGAAAACACCATGTAGTTGCATCACTAAAATCGATATATCTAAAAAAGTTTTGGAAAAAAATTAAAAAAATACACAGGAGACGTCAAATTGATGGGGGAGAAGGTATGCCAAGTTTCTAGTGAATGTACCATGTGCGTATAGGGGTCATACTAAGTACGGGTCAAGGTCAGGTCAGGTCACGAAAGGTCACGGTTTTCACTTTCTGCTACATGGGCGTGCGACACATGTTTTATGGCTTATTTTTCACGCCAAATCCGATGGTAATGGTTATATGTGACCCCATGTCACTGTGATGGTGATAAGTGTGCATTGAAAGCATACAAAATCGTTTATGCCATACATAACTAAACGAGGGCTAAGAAAAAAGTCAATTTTTCAACTTTTTATTTTTTGACATAAAACGAACTTTTCTAAACAAGCTTTGTCCCAGGAATCTAGTGGTGCCATTTGTTTTCACATGCGATGTTCAGAAGTGCCTCTAATTCACGAGAATGCTTATGACGTCACCATGCCCTATGCATGTTGGAGCTACTTTTTTACAATTTGGGGGTCAAAAATCAAGATAGAAAGTTGAAATTTGGGTCATCTAATGTTCTAATAGAGCTTTATAACATATATTCCGTGTTTTTTTTTTTAATTCTCAGGATTTTGGATTTTAGGGGAAGCCGGGGGAAGCCCGGCATAGTAAGCTCTTTTTCATTTTTATTACATACCATATGTGCTGTATAAAATGTTGATATCCTGTTAGCTAGATAAGTCAATTGGCAGTGTTTTCCCAAAAATTCGGTTTCGTGGAAATAGTATAATGTTGAGAAAATCGAGTTTTAAAAAAGTGTTGATTTTTCTGGGGTAAGCCCCACGCCGGCCACCTCCCCAGCGCTTTACAACGAGTTGATGAAACCATTATGTGTCTTCCAAATATTGACGGAAAGTGAAATATTAAGGTAGGTACTGAATAGCTCTGGACATCTTAGAGTTTATGTTACTACTGGTATTTTAGCTAGCGTCCACCACATATTCAGTACAGATCGATGAAAATCGTGTTGCAAAATTGACAAAAAATGCGTATTTCAAAATTCCTTAATTTTTTTTTATTTACCTAAATGCATTATATTGCATATCATTCGACTCGGCTGATGAAGAAGAACACAACGACACCATTTTTGAAGCTCTAGCTTCATTGTCTGTCGCGTTATCTTCAAAAACGTAATTTGACCCTAGTTGACCTCAAGTGACATGACTGTTCCTGTAGCATACGCACATAAACTTAGTCACTTATTGATATACACTGATGGAGGGTAACTAAAAACCGTTAAAATGGAGCGGATATCTCCCATATTTTACAGTTAACCCTATTAGTGGCAGGGGGGTTGTTTTCATCCACCCCTCAGGTTTTTCGGGAATATCTCCGAAACCGCTGAAGCTACGGTGCTGAAATTTTCTGACTTTTCCTAAAACTTAATTGGGCACATTCCCTGAAAATTTCAAGTTCATAAATTTACCAGGGGCGGCTCCAGAGCACTGGGAATTGGGGGGTCCTATTCGTGAAGCGAGTCATTTGGGCGAAGATCACGATGCTGATGTATTATAACTGTATGCACCAGTTTTACGAACAGTGAATGAAAGGTATCATGTGATAACATATACAAAGTTATTGTGCATCCTCTTTTGACACGTTTTTGCTATAATAGGCGGATCCAGGCACCCAAAAAGGGGGGGTATGTTTTACCTCCCAACATAGGTGCCCTGACACCGCCTATGCATGACCAATACAATTGTAGTCGTTCTCTCATAAGAAGATTGTAACATAACAAGACCATTACCACCTTTTTTAGAAACAGTACCAACAAAAACCTTATTTACTATACTTTTGTGTACCCCCAATCTCAATGATCTGTATCCGCCTATGATTTTTGAAAGTGCATATTTTTAGGATCAATGTGAATTCCTGGTTCATTCTCTATCGATCGGCAAAAGTTGCGTTTAGATTGGTTCAGAAACCTGGCCGTGATAAACAGTCTAAAATCAAAAATGTATCTGCAATTTGCCCGTTTTTACCCCTCTCTACCCCCCTATTGACATTTTTTAATTTTTATTTTTTAGAAATGTAGATCACGTTGAGCGAAATCGAATGCCGTTTGAATTTTGAAAATCGGCCCGTTAGATCTTGAGATATCAGGGGGGGGGGGGTCGTAAACAGCCCCCCCCCCCTGCCACTAATAGGGGTATCCAGGAGCCTGCCACTAATAGGGTTAAAACAGTCAAGCAATCGCCCTTCATCCATACCTGATATTTAAAGGCACTGGAATAGAGCGACAGGCCGAAGAGGCTTTGTCTATGATAGGTAACATGTTTATTTTCGAAATTTATCTTTGATCTAGGTGTAAACCAAACCTACTCAGTACCTATTATCTCATGGAAAACAGTGGTTTAGTGGCATTCCTCTCGGTTGGGGGTAAGCTTGGCCACTCGCCCGGGGTTACCCCAAGTGCTAATTTTTATTTTAAAACAGCGATGTTCGAAAAAAATGTCATGCTTAAGCCAGCATGCCTCGTCACCCCTCACTACAAACACTTAAACGGTCCTTACATAACATTCGTATAAATATTAGGACTGTATGGTATAACATTAACAGTGCAACATATCTCACTTTTTAGCTAAAAACCCTTAAAATATCATTTTTGCTCTATAACTTTAACAGTATACAATTTTTGTTAACCTTAACTTTTTTGATGGCGTTACCTTAGCTGCCAGGCTGAAAAGACAAACAGTTGAGTATTTTATTGTGAATAATTTAGCCGGAAACGGGGTGGCCGGGCTTCCCCCGCGCCCGGGCTTCCCCCGGCTTCCCCTATTAGCTGTTTTAAAAAATAGTTTTTTGAATTTTTTTTTGGGTGAAAAACGCATTTTATGGAAAATCCGAGATAGCCATTTTAAAGAACTCATTAAGCTGCGTCTATTCATGTCCTTAATTTGCAATTTACTTCAAACCTTGATTTTTGGCGATTTTTTAAACATTTACCACTTTTTGACTAAAAACGCCATGTAGTTGCATCACTAAAATCGATATATCTAAAAAAGTTTTGGGAAAAAAATCTTAAAAATTACACAGGAGACGTCAAATTGATGGGTGATTGATTGATGAAAAAAATTGATGGGGGAGAAGGTATGCCAAGTTTTCAAGTTGATAGCCCAAGCGGTTCATGAGTTATTCGAGAAAAACAGAGGGGGTGTCGGATCCGACCCCCCCCCCCCCCAGGTGGTCGCGGGTTAAGATCGCAGGATAAAAATGAAAATATTAATTCCTGTCAGTAGGTATTCAGGGAACTAAGCCATTGTTCACTGACGTGTTTCATGTCTGATGTCTGAGATGGAGAGGTGAGCTATAAGCCGGCGCTATCTGTCCAAAGTTGTCTGCTGGCAGCCTCAGCTGACGAGCCGCGGTATAACTTTGTGCCCTCGGGCGCCA